GGTAAAGTGAGTTTGTACATGTAAAGAGCATAGTAAATACTCTATGTATGAGGACTGTTATTGTTATTTTGTTTTGGAACACTTTATGTCCTTTAGTCATTAAAGAGATACAGGGCTAGGGGCAGGGTGGGGGAACGACTATTGTATCATGCAGTAACTTTTCCTTTTTAGGGAAAAGATAAATTCCTGGCATCTACTTCCCTCAGTTTACTCATTTAATATTTCCCTGATACCTCTACTAGTCTTGTACTATCTGGGGGAATATAGGTATGAAGCTGGTGGAAAATGGCTTCTCTTCTAGCAAATTCCTGTGGAAGTAGGAACCCATTGTCTGTTTCTATCCTTTGTAACAGAACCTACATTCTTACCTGAATAAAATAGAGCCAGGTTTGAAGGTAAAGAGTGTAGATGAAAGGCTAAGAGAGAATGTGTCTGTGCATGCACACATGTTCATGCACCTGTGCATGTGTGCTTGTGTGCATACCTGTGCACATGCATGCATGCATATGTTCACATGTGTGTGTGTACACATGCATGTGTGTGTGTATTGGAGGGGGTTTGCAAGTATAAGGGAAGCACCTATGTTTTCACTAGGAGATGTTGCCTTAAGCATGTCTCTTCCTGTCCATGCCAGACATCTTGGTTCTTTGAAAATGTGAGCAGGGATGAAATCTCCCATCAGTGAACACAGAAACAGCTCCACCAAAGAAACAGTTCATTGTTAATTCAGTCGTCGTGACATTCTGGAAATTGGCACTAGTCACCACTTTTCATCCACCCTCACTCCTTCCGCCGTGTATTTCAGTTTTGCTGCTTCTTTCCATCACCAACAGATTCACGCCTTGTTCTAGAGGAAAGCTCTGTAGGTTAGCATGTAATGGCTTCTATAAAATAGTTCTCCTGTCTAGAAAAATTTAATAGTCTTAACAAGTCAGTCCCTGTTTTATAATACTGTTTCATTAAGAATAAGGGTGTATTTTATAGTTAATTTTTCTTAGCTTCCAAACGGGCTTTTCATCTCAGATATTAAGAAGCAGGACTGGAAAGAAGAGATTAGAGACAGGAAAAAAGAAAACAAAAACAAACAAAATTTAATACAAAAACACGAGGCAAATGTAGTTTCTTTCCTGCGTAATTTACACTAACTTACCAGATTCAGAAGCTAAGATACATAGTCCAAGATAATTTCTCCTTGGTTTATACTTTCATCACAGGTGTATCTTGCTCATTTATAATGCAATAGTTTCCTATTTAAAGGCAAAATACTGCAAGTACATTGGCAAGCTAAAAATGAGCCCCTAGAAGTTTGTATAAACCTGCATTTATGTATTTTCTACATAAAAGGTAGTTCTCAAATTCGAAGTCAAAATATTTACAAAGGTATCTTGTGCACACAAATGTTAGACATTCTCTTTGCAAATTGCAAAATGAAATTGTAAATAATAGCCAATTTCTTTCTTTTAAAATGTCTCAGCTCACACAACTATCTACTGGGGCTTTGGGGGGAAAAGTAAATAAATAAAATCTTTAAAATGTCTCAGCTGAAACATAAAAGCACAAACTATTGAGAGACACAACTTGCATGGATCTTACATGAGGAGTGAAAAAACCAATTGAAAAGGTACATACTGAATGACTCCATGTATCTAGCATTCTCAAAATGACAAAATTATAGCGATAGAGAACAGAGCAATCAGGGGTTAGCGAAGAGAGGATGTGACTGCAAAGGGGCAGCCCAAGGGAGTTTCTTTGTGGTGATGGGGCAGTGCTTTATCGTGATTGTGGTGGTGATGTGAACCTAGACATGTGATAAAATGTCATAGAATTATACACAAAAACATACACAGAACAATGAGCCCATTCAAAGACTGGTGAAATCCAAGGCCTAAACTCCAGCTAATTGTATGTATTGTGTCAACGTCAATTTCCCGATTTTGGTGTATTTCAGTTATGTAAGATGTTACCTTTGGGGGAGACTGGTTGATGGGTACATAAGATCTCTCTGTACTATTATTGCAACTTCTTGTGAGTCTATAATTATTTCAAAATATAAAGTTAGAAACAAATGCTTCTGCTGAAGAAAGGATTCCAGCTACTAATTAAACATACTTATGAAGCAATTTAGTCAAAGAGTGGTATCCTTTTGGGAAGCAGGGCTTTTAGATATAAACACTGAAGACTCTTGATTTAGCATACGTATGCTTAGTATCCAGGTCTGTAAGTCTTACACTGTAATTTAAAGCAATTACTGTTTCCATAACCTCTGTTAGAGTTGTAGTTATCAGGAAATTTTAGAGTGAGCAGGGGTCCTACAGAGAACCTATATTCTATAGGTCAAATTTCCAGGTTACACCTCTAGGTTTTGGTATCCTTATTTGTAATATGAGGGCTTTGTCCTAGATTCTTCGGAATGTCCTGTGCCACGTTCTAAATTTTATAATCCACAACTGTACAATATAAACCACAGCACCTTTAATGGTGATGTTATAAATTTTGCCTCAATATTTATTGCATGAGACAAATATCTCCATTTACATTGATTGCAAATGTGGATGCAAAAAAACCTATTATTTAACAACATCTCACATTATAAACACTTGGAAAGTAAATTACCTGGGCTAATTTTTACCACTTAGCTAAGGTTGATAATTTTCCAGAAGAGAGTCCCGACAGCTTTCCTGAGATGACATACCATTACATATTCCTTGTACAAAACACATGGCTTTTATCCATTTGAGTATTTACGTAGAAAGAGGAGATTTACTTAGGTCAGTGTCTCCCAGTATGGGAACACTGACTGCCCATCAAACCACTAAATCAATCCTGGAGAGATTCTGGCCAAACACGAAAAGTTAGGAAGCTTGAAAAAGTGGCTATTATCATTTGGGAATAAACGAAGATAATGCTCTCTAAATGACCAATACGGCTCAAGCTTATTTACTCATCTCAACTACTTTTCTTCATGGAATGCTAAAAACTAATTACCTTGGGGAAACTGTGCCCACCATAAAAACAGGCTTGGAAACCCCTGTGCGGTGCGTGGCTGTGCCTGGCTGGGTGATAACACGCATACACAAACGGATCACAACAGCAGTAACATCTTGTTTTGTACTGATTTCCCTTAAGTCTGTAACAATTTAAGTCATAGTCTTCCCAAAAAAACCCCCATAAAAAACAAAACAAAAACAAAATCAGCAACTCACAGCATCAGTGTAATCATTTTATTAACAAAAGGAACCCATAGGGTTCAAACAAGAGTACAAAATACAATATTTTTTTTCCCTGTGGGTTAAATTGTTACATTCTTAATAACAAAAATAAAAAGTTTTCATAGTTAACTTATCAAAAACATAACCCCTGCCTATTGAATTTCTTATTGTGCAAAACAAAAACATAAGTAAAGTTCTGCCCATGGAAGGATTTCGTGTGCCAAAAGCTGCACATTTTCAATTTCAAACTTTTTGCATCAAAAAGAAAATTCTAAGGCCACGGTTTCTTTGCAAACTAAACAAGAGGGGAATATACAAGCAAATACAGCAGCTAAATTTTTATCTTCATTTTCAAGTATTCTCTGTTCCAATGTAGAATTTTCTACATTCATAAAATCATTTCTCGATTATAAAAAGGTATGCAGTTTCATATCTGACTGCTTAAGGTCAGATACACCAATATCAATTCAAGGCAAATCATACCTTTTAGCTATTTTCTTATATGCTACAAAAGCAGCTTTCCTTCACTTCTGTGAGTGCACTTCATGATTTCTCTAATACAGGTGGTAAAACAATCCCAGGGAAGGATTCCATTAAGTAGTTGCCTTTCCACATGGAGCCAAATAATGAAAGCTTCTCTCCCTCCATATCATTTGTTTCAGTATCACGGAGATGGACTACGTCTTGACACGGCATGTAAACTATGACTTAGAAGTCAAGAAAGAGTTGAAGATGATCTTTTTTAAAGTAAAAATAAAACTGTGTAGACAGCACTTAAATACACACAGCTATCTACAAACACATAAAAAACAAAGCAAAATAAAAAACCAAAGCAGGGAGTAACGCTTTGTGACAATTGCGGTACCACAATTATTGGTCTAAGTTTTGCACTGCGATTTTAAACAGTGGCTTACAACAAAAGAAATGCTTACGATGCTTACAGGATTACAGAGAAGAAAGGTACGTCCAGAAGGGGGAAAAGCATACATTTACCTAATGTTTGTAGAAAAATCCCTGATCAAATGGCCAACTAATTTTTAAATACAAAATTTAACCTTAGAAGAACTTTTCTATTTCTAACTGAATATACTGATTGAAAGAAAAATTAATCGTTCTGTTGAATGAAGTACAGTATTGGAAGCACCAGGGTTTCTAGATCAAACCCTTAGAACATGGAGAAAACCAAAGTACTCAGCTGGTCCAAAATCTCTATTGTGGGACTCCCTACCTCCCTTCCACTTAGTGTCCAGAAATGCTCTCAGCTCAGGAAACCAACAGATTAAAGGAAAAGCAAGTGAACCTGTGACCATGAATAGAGGGGAGAGGGGGACAGTAAAAACACTGCTCAGACTTTTAGCAGCAACACAATCCTGTTGGTCTGAATATCCTGAGGTTAAAAGATAATCAAATATTTCACCAAAACGATAAACAAAATCACAGTTTAAATAGAATTACTAAAGAATTGGAATAACAATGTATAATGCGGTGAAAGCCATCAGTAAACTTAAGTCTCTTGATAATAGGAATTAAGTTTATGTCTTTTTTTAAAACGGTATTTCTAGCCGCTTTTGATTTTGCATGTATTTTGAAATACCCTTTCACATACATACATTAACTTCCATCTAACGCTAACCTTACAGACTGTTCCCTTAGTTCAGTTTCATCTAGTGACAGGTGAGATAAGACTGTACTACAAATTAGCAGAAATTCCCAAGAAGACTTATCAGGCTTAGAGTTGTAAAACATATCAGATAACCCCACTAGAGGTAGGCTAAGAAAAAGCTTTTTGTTGTTGTTTTTTTCTGTGTAGTTATCAAGGCATCCTGAGGATGCAACCTTTTTCTTATCCCCCTCTTTTTCTAATATGCGCCTAGGTAAATAAAACATGAGGAAAATCAAACATTTATCCTGGTACAGTACTTAAAGGGGGTAAGAATTACAGCTTTCAACATGTGTTTTCATATTGAAATTCATCTTTCCGCTTTGAACTGACAAGTCTTTCAAGGGACTCTTTCTTGGTTTCATAATGCTGTATAGCCAATTTATAAACTACATTTTAAACTACTACTGGAAGAGTGACAACTGTATTACTTCATTAGGACCTTATAAGACCATGATCTCAGGAAAGGATTCTTTCAAGGACTTCAGTCCTATGGAATATGGTGAGAAATCATGCAGACCCTGACACCTGAGGGTCTCACTTCGTATTCGGAGTAAGCCACTTTCCTATTCATGCACACACTTGTGCTGCTACATTCTCGAAAATCAAGTCTCTTCCCGAGTCTGTACTGCCTTAAGCTTAAGATACTTTCGTTCCACTCTGAAAAACCTTTTTAAAGGTATACTCCCATAGTGTTTCCACTATTTACACAGATCCCTCTCTCTTGCGTCAGCGCAGGCACCCCATACTACTTCACTTACTCTATCACCATCAGGACTTCCATTACATTCTGTGACTTTTCACATCTTCATCCCATTATTTAAAGGGGACATATGGCCATATCATAAACATGTGCAATAATCCTTTTGGCCCACTGGAAAGTTCCCATGTTCTTTAATTTCTATCACCTTTGGTCTTGAGGTTCATTTATGTTCTTAAGTTAATCATCCCGCTTCCTTCCCCCAAAAGGCAGGGGGAAAGAACCAACATTCCAATTTGAAGATGAACACAGTGATTTCCGAAATATGTTTAGAGAATGAAGGAAACAGGCTGGGTCTCTTCTACATCACTAGGATGTGGATCAACCTGCAAAAAAGAACAGACTGAGATTACTACTATAGCATTCTTTAAAATGATTCGAGTATCTGTTCCTTATTATGATGGCTGTAAGCCAAGTTGCTTAGAACCCGGGATTATTAAGAAGTCCCAGTAGGCTGCTTAAGTTCTCCGTGTTCCACGGCCACATAAAACACCTTCAAGGCAATCCACGGTACTCCACATGCATGCTACAGATCACAAGGAAAATAATGCCAAGTGTGGTAATGAACGATAATCTACCATCACGGTAAAATAAAAAATTTTTACATGTATCTCCTACTACTTAAGAATCAGCAACAGACACTTAGACAAGCTTATTTACAAACAGCACAAGAGAACTCTAATTTTCTTTTGCTTTGTTTACCTCTGAATAAAGAGGTGGAGGCTGAAACCGGAACTCCTGCATGCAGGAGGCAAACATGGGACAGCATGCTTCTTCCCCACAGTTAGGAGGCTGAGGGTAAGGAGGGACGTGTCTAGAGAATTCTTCCTCTGACACCACGTCTGCGTAATTTGGTGGTGCTGAAACAAAAATGGAGTTGAGAAGGAAATCCGTGTAAAAACTAGTTACATTAATCTCTTCTGAACTCTTACAAAAACAATAAATTTAGCTAAATTTGAAGATAAAACAATGCTACTTTTCCCTCTAATCAGCAAGTTTTTGTGCTCATTACAACAGAAAAATATTTACTAGATTCTGCTTTTATTAAACTACAACTAACATTGATAACATTTTACTCTTGAAATGTGTGTTACAGTCTAGGTAAAAAAAATATCATTGACACATGCTACAGAAAATACCTAACACTCTATTCATTTTTTTTTTTTTTCCCGTGAGGAAGATTTCATTGTTTTACTATTATAACTCAGAATCAGGAGATGTAGATTTTATTCCTGGATCTGCCACTGGCAGCTTTGTGTCCTGGATAAGCTAAACTCTCTCAGTCCGTTTCAAGAATAATGTTTTATGATTTTAAAAAATAAGAAGAGTAAGAATAGTTGTAGTGGCAGTAGTAGTTATCATTTAGCGCTTATTATCTTACACATCCAATTCTTAGGTATTCTACGTGTAAAACTTCATTCTGAAAGAACCTCAAAACATTTTACCTTCAGGCTGTTCTGGCAGAGTCAGTGTCAACCAGCTCATATCCATACTGAACTGGCTGGCAACGCTGGAGTTTCTGCTGCCAAAACCGTTATATGGAATTGTACCAATCACTAAGGGCAACTCGAGCATCAATTTTTTAGCACCAGGAATGTGAATATACACCTAACATGCAAGAAAAAGAGAGAGGCAAAGATATAAGTTAAACCTCATTGTAGACATCCCGATTCACTTTTTCATAGAAACAAATGCCTTTGTTGCCTGCCACCACCTCCAACATAATTTTAAACTGTCCTGACCAAAAGAACGAAAAACAAACCAAATGAAGATCACACAAAATATAGTGAATGCTCTGTGATGGGGAATTGTGGCCTTAACATACTTCATTGTAAGTGAGCAAGGCTTACCTAATATCTATAGAAAATTAAGTATGTCTTCAATATAGCAAGCACCCCTTAATGAACCTTAATTCTTTCATGTTATTTAATTAAATTCTTTAGGAGGATAGTTTTTGATTAAAAACAAAGGCCAATCTTCATATATTCCACAATCTGTTCTACTGCTGACATAAAATGACATTTTTCTAGGTAGAAAATGTACATATTCACAGTCACATGGCACCAGTTATTGCTCCATTCTACATATTTTTAACTTTTTAAAAAGAACTCTGCTTACAGCTAAGGAATAGTCCACTCTGATAATGCAGCAATCCAGGATGGAGGGAGTAACAGGTGGAATTTTTAGAGTCTTCCCATTCCATATGTCGGTGCTCCCAGAAGCAATGTGGTTGCCTCGCACATTGGCAATCATGTGCCGGATGGTCTTTATTTTCCCACTAGCCAAATACGTCTGGGTTTGGAAAATGGCAGCTTTAGGAACAATTAAACGAGAGGAACAATTCTCTATTTCTGCATAGATTGGAATAGCTTCTCCTAAAAAGAAAACAAAACACCTTCAGAGACTTATCAGAAAGTTCTCAACACACTGAAATAGAGCCGTTACAACTAAAGCTGAAATGTTGCAACATAACTTTAACAAACTGAGAACCCTGATAGAAAACTTATATTGTAAATCTGAGAGAAATAAAAATTCACTGCAGGTTGTGGTAGATATTGTTTTCTAAGCATTGCATTATTCACTTTTCTAATATTAAGTTACCGCTTCTAAAGATATGTAAATGACCAGTATCTACAAAAATTAAGACATACAACAAAAGATTCAGTAATATGTTAAGTACAAAAGATCACTAACAAACTCATTAGTGCCTATAAATTAAAATCTGCTCAACAGGAGAACAAAGCCTTTACTTTTAAGGAACTGATGTTAAGGCACAAATAAAACAATGAATGGAGTAGTTAAGTTTTACATCTGCATTATACATCCACCATCATACCATTCCATACCACATTCACTTCCAACAAGCCAGAAGCCTGGGGTGGGGCTCAATCCTCTGTACAGAATTGGGCCCTTCACAAACGGTCGTTCAGATATCAATCTGACTGTGGAGACTGTTAATGTTCTATATTCTAGCCCACGTATTTGTATTCCTAGCATGGAATCAGAATGCCTAACGGTAACTACAAGAGCTCTCTTCTGAGCAACACTGCTCTGGACATTCTTTTGCAACATTAAAATAAAATTCTGGCATTTTCCCACTCTTCTAGTTTTAGTCTTTATTACTAAAGTAACAGGAGTGAAGTCAGAAATACCAGGAGTTTTATTAGAATCTACTCATCCATTTAAAAACATTTAAATATCAATTATTTACATTAAAGAGAAAAAATTTTATTATTCATGTTTTAAAATAGTATATACTTCTTAAATTACAAAACACACTATTTAAAATCACTTAAAATTAGCTAATAGAAATGAGTGAATCTTCCATTTGGACTTGCAAACATTTTGCTTACCATTACAGTATCCCTTCCTTTCAATTTTGGCACTCAGTGAGACTGGACCAGAAGTGAAAATCCAACAGCCAACCATTTTCTCTTGAGTTTTCAATACAGGGGTCTTGAAAATTTCAAATAGTAAAACGACTTTAATTACATCAGTCTAAAAAATTTTCAGAACTTAAAATTATGTCATTTTTCATTAAATAGTTGTAAAGAAATATCTTCCAAAAAACAAATCAACCTTTCTTATCCTCATGTGACATAGACAAAATACTTACCAAAATACAAGCATTAAAAATCATTCCCTTTGTAGGAAAACTAAGGTGAACTTTCAGATTCAAATTAGGTTAACACCATCCTATTTTACCCTATAGTCATTATATTTCTAGGAAACGATATAGCATCCCTTAAAAAAGCAATCAAAAACTGTAGTACTACCTATTAACATGATAAAACTTTTTTTTTTTTTTAGGACTTTATGTGTAGATCAAGTACAAGGAGAAATGGTATAAAAGTCAATAATCAGAATGTTCTATTTGTTTTGGCATTTAAAATGTGGAACTAGCAAACAGCCTTTTTTCCTTAACTCAAAATGTATTATTAGGCAGAAATTTCAGGAGTCCTTAACTTACAATGATTTCTAGTTGTGTAATGGCAGCACAACAACACACCCAGTGTAACGGATCTGAAAGGTTATTGAACACACCACTCCATTTTCTGTTCTACAGTATCAAGACAAATGATCAAGATTTAAAATGCTCAGTTTATGAGATGTACAAACCAAAAGCTTATTGTAAAACTCAAGGTTCTTAATTTTTTTTTTAATTATGGAAAGAATAGTAAAGAATAAATAGTATCTCTTTTTGGCAAAAAATAAAATCTCTTAAATCATTTGCCACCATGTCCATAAATAATTTATAAATAGTTAACTTCCCAGTTCTAAGTAGTTTTTTAAAAATACAAGACACTTAGCATTATCAATTTTCAAAAAAGGTTTTAAGTGGATGATAAGTCGTAATTATAAGCCAGGTCAGCTGGGTGCTGGCTCTTTTATGATTTTGGCCATAACGGACCGTGCAACTAGGGTTTATTTGTTATATTTTCACAGTCTAAAGGGGAACATTAGAGTAAATGCTATTTCATTTTCATGTGAAAAGAGAGTTAAACAACTTTTAGCTCCTGTTTTTTTCCTTATTTTTAGAAACAGTGGCTAGAAGAAGAAACCTCCAATACTAAAAATACGTCTTTGTAACATAGTATCATGGTGGAAAGTTTAAATTATCCCCGTATTTTCTATGAAGTAAAAAAATCATTCATATTTAAATGAAGAACCATTAGGTCCTAGTAGCTATCATGAAAGTATAAGGTATAATTTTATATTATTTTGCTAATATGGGTTTAGATAAAAGAATCTAGCTCATTAGCTCCCATCTTGCCTATTCTGTTGTTACTTATAGCCTAATCTTTCTTATCAGTCTACAGTTTTTCTGGTGATTATTAGAAGTTCAATGCTTTAATGTGGCCAAATCTGTCATAAGGAGATGATAAGTGAAAGGCTCTCTGTAGCAGCTGCATGCACTTACTTAATGTTAGAAAATGACATGCAGAATGGAAGGATACATAGCATAATGGCCTGGGCCTCAATAACAGGCTGAGCATGATTAATACTCTTCCATAATTACTGTTCCTCAACCTGCTATTATTGCAGAGTTTAGAATACCAAGCCCCTTGAATGTGGCCGCTCTGGTAAAAGTAACCACTCTCTGTGTGTGCATTATTATTATTAAGGCTTATTAATGCATTTCAAGCCCGTATAACTTTTTGGCAAAAGAAGCCCTGAACAACAGGGACATAATCAATAGTATTAACACACTCAATTTGTAATTTGCCCAACCTAGAGTCACATATTTATAGTGAATGCCTACGGGTTACAAGAGTATATCAGAAAGTGACAGGACAGACTACCACTAAAACTGGCTAAATGCAGATACCACTGTTGAAGGGAATGAGGAAGTGAGGAAGAAAGAACTTACTAATAATGCTGGTGTGTTGACATCGATGTGACTTACAACCTGGAGTTCCCGCTTCACACTCTGATCAGGTACCTTGGGTCGTTCCAAAACTGCTCTCACACAGTACTGAATACTTCCATATTTCCCAGTGAATGAGGTTACCAAAGGTCTGAAATAAATCAAAAAGATTAACTGATAAGTTTATTTTTCAGTTATACAAAACCGGGCAAAGCCCTTAAAATGTTGGTTTTGGTTAAAAGAAAAGGAGTGTGAGCAGGGTAAGTGTATTCAGAGGCTGATCAGGATAAGCATGCACACTCGAGTGTCAGAAAGACTTGGTACCCATACACAGGGATGCACAGGTTGCAGGGAAAGAAAATCACAAAAGTTACATAGTTTCACTTACTCAGATGGAAGTTGAAAGCTAAAGGGAAATTCATGTTTTCCAGGCTGTAATAACAGGATGCTTTCACCTAAAACAAAAAACATTTTTATTTTAACTAGGGTTAATACTAATCAAGAATTTTCACAACCTAAATCAGATTTTTTTAAAAGGAGGTTTTCCTGGCTATAACATCCAGTATACTCCAAAGAATTCATTAAACCAAGATTTAGAGAATTAAAATTTGAATTCATCTGTAAGAAGTTTAATCAATTTCAAAACATAATATATATATAGTGCTTCTATCTTCAAATAGACCAATTACATAAGTAATTACCCTTATGTGTCCGAGTCCAGAGTTCCCATATACATATATATGTATACACACACGTATATATACATACGTGTATTAGCATACTATTATAGTAACATGAGATACCAATATTAAATTGGACCTACAACTAATTTAGAAAAAAATAGATCTATTTATTTTGGGTATACCACAAAAATGAGACTATGTATTCTTTGGTCAGAGATGGAAAAGGAGGTGAAAGATTTACTTGGAATATCATGAATACTGAGTATAATACTAAACAGCCAAACCAACAGGGCAAGTTATGAAACAAGAGTCATGTATTTACACTCACACTCTACTGATTAAGAGGGTATCTTGTTGGTTAACTTGGGTTCTAGAGCAGACTTTACCAAGCATGGCCATGACTCCCTTCCGCTGCTCTGGGTCAACCAGCTCCATTTTATTTCACGCAGAGGCTGATTCCTGATTGTGAGAAGGCCAAGATGCAAGGTGTGGACAAACCACACAAGGCCAGAGGCACTGCCGGAGCTGATGAACACATGGAGCAAATCTGTATCATTCAGACCCAAAGCCAATGCCAGGGCTGTCAGTGTCGGTCGGGTGGCTCTCCAGAGATACTTATAAACTTTCTCTTCATTTTATGCTCACAGATTCAAGTTTAGAACAAATTCTCTCACCAAGGGTGGGATGATCAAGATGAAGAAAGGGCAGCACAGACTGAGAACTTTCTCTGAGATTTTCCTGGTCACTTGAATATGAAAATGAAGATTTCTACTCTATCCATTCACTTAAAATTTTTTTAAAAGGCAGAAATCACTTAAATCCTAGAGTTCTAAGACCATAATTCAGATAACATTTCAACCTTGCACTTGTAGAAACCAGGAATGCATTACTGGCCCATTAAGTCTTCTGAATCTATCCCAATTTTCAATGTGTAACATATTGTTAAAACAAAGTATTTGCCACTTAGAAGGTCATTCAAATAGAAGTAGTCCACAGCTGGGTGACTTCGGAGGCAAAATAAACAAGTCACAGGGACGTGAGGCCATGTTACATGACTGTGACAGAGCAAATCCCTGGGGCTCAGGTGTGCCAGAAGCTGCCCTGTGAGCCTCAGCAGTGTCCGAGCAGCGCTGCAGCAGTGGCAGCCAGGGAAGCCTCTCCACTACATGGCTGCCAGGTGAAGGGCTCAAGGCAATCCCACCGCTCATGAGAGCTAGCGAAAATTCTAATTTGTAATCATCACATTACTGAATTTGACAATTTAAGTACTTTAAAATGTTTAAAAATGTGGATTTCATTTGAGTTCAAAATTTATAGTGCTTAGATGTCAGGCACTGTGGATATAAAGAATAACTTCAATGCTCAGAGAGGTGGGAGGAAAGGAGGCTAGACACTTGCACAAGTCCTGACCACAGAGGGCTGGAGCCCATAGGGGGCACGGCCGGGGGG